CAGGACCCTTGGGGTTCCTTCCAACTCTACAATTCTATGATATTTTACACTGTAAGCCTGAGAGCAGGGATTGCCTTATTAATAGCTGTAAGCAGCTCGAGGAGCCTTTTCAGATGAAGAGCAGAGTAAAAATGCTATAAAAATAATCCTAACAGAGGACGATCAAGATCCTAGAGGTGAAAGATGACGCATGTTCTGCCACAAACAAATCTTACCTTTGCTGTGATGAGGTGCTTTGTGAACTTTGATTCCGAGCTGCAGACCATAGCAGAGAGGCTGAAAGAGAAAGACGGAATTAGAAACAAAGGAACCGCACTAGATTCACACCTGAACCTGCTTTTAATAAGCAATGAAGCTGTGCCATTTCCATAATTAGTGGGAATGGCTGTTGTGTCAAAAGAAAGATGGGATGTGAATGTTCCCTTTCTTTAAGATCTTTAATGGTTTTGTTTTTCCTTAACAGCAAAAATATTAATAGGCACCAAGATTTAGCCTCAAAAGGTCCCTGTAGTCCTTCAATACTAAAGACTTGGTGAAACAGAAGTGGGCTCAGGGAAATCTTGCAGAGATTTGTCTGATTACACTTATATCTCACCTTTCTTCCATCATGGAAGCCAAGGTGGTGTACATGTTGTTCCCAGCTGGTCTCCCATTCAAGCCTTGACCAGACACCGACCTGATCAGCTTTAGCAAAGTAGCAGCCTCATGTGCCTTCATGAGGCAATATCCTGAGACTTGGCCTGAAGGCATATGAGGCCACCACCTCGTGAGTTTGGCTCCAGCACTCCAATGCTAGCTTTTCTAGATTAAGTGAGCTGGAAAATATCAAATTAAAAACAGTTTAAACATAACTCCTTCTACTGTAGACAGCAAGCCTCAGAAATAATGAGAGCAGAGTAAAAATGATGACCATTAACCTGACCAAATTAATGGCAAGATTAGTCAAAATCCATTCTTGGAAGCAGCTATTCCTAACAGCTTATTAGTTTAATCACATTTTGCAGTCATAGCACTCGACTTACTTTCCTTCAAGGAAAAAAACAACCTGCACTAAGTAATTATTTACAGGGGTTGAACATGAAAATGTGGACTATTTAATGAGGGAAGTTATTTCAGCAGTTCCTTTAAGCAGCTGCTTGAGTGAAACCTTGGAGACCCCTTTTCCTTCTGGTTCTAGTCTTGGGGGCTCAATCCAATGAAGACTTGGCATGCCTAATATCACTGAAGTCAAAAGGAGTTGGGCACTTCTAACTCTGCACAGGATTAGGCTTTCAGAGTCCATGAAGTATCCATAGCCCAATCAGCACATTTTATATTTGATTACAAGCAGAAAAGCCCAAATTTGCAGTTATTACCAGAGTCCTTTCCTTCTTAATGATCTAAAATCCTGTCACCTGGGGATAAGGCTCCAGGAATTTTCAATCTGCTTGGCAGCCAACCAGTGGTTTGGATTGTGAAACACACAAATGGTTGCACTCATACTATAATGGCTCCTCATTCTCTGACAAGCTGCTCCTGAGGGTTGATTGCACTGCACGCTGCCTTAGAGGGTCCAATGTGGAGGTGGGGATGCAACTGGAAGAAATCAGCTTTCACAGGTTTCCAGATCCCACCACTGCTCCTAATTAATCAGTGAGGTTCAATGCTTTCACTGCATTTGAGTGGATCCCTTTTGAACCTGCTACTCGGTGAAGGAGATTTTTTTCCAAAGGGGACAAGCAGCTGTGTGTGTCTGAATGCATACATGCACAAAGCAGCCCCTCTGTTTAAACCCATGACATTAATGGTTCGTTGCAGCATTTTGAAGAAGCTACTCTCCACTTCCCTGTGTTAGCAGCAGCTTTCAAAAGATACATCATTCCTGCAGTGCAATATACAGCAGGATTTCCCTGCTATTTACCAGAATTAAATCTCTGGTTACCAGTGGTGACCTTATTTATGGAATTCTGGCTGCTTATTTGATGGCATACTTACCAAACTCTTATACACGCAACAAATTTCATAGCCAGTGGGTTCTTGGCTTTTTGTAGTAGCACAAAAATTCCTATAATTTTGTCACTACACTTTGAGCACACTTTGAGCTCTTGCTCATCTTACGCTTGGAACCACGTTAAGAATTAGGTGAACAGATTACAGACTTAAAAAGCACAACCCTAATCTTTCTTACTCTATAACTTACTCTGATTCCAGTAGACTTTCCAGGCTATAAGTTTCTTTGGTTATTCAGACTCTGGTGTATGAGAATTGTAGTTAGTTTAGAGGCACAGAGAGGGTTCACAAATTATTTGGAAAATGCTGGGCTGGTTCAAATTTTAATTTTACCATCCTCCTCTGAGTTCATAAGCATGCATGTTTTAAGTGCAATATGTGTGTGATGCCCCCTGCTACATCTGCTTAGATTTAAGCCTTGTTCAACAGCATGCTGGAATATTTTGCTTAGGCCAACACCAGGAATTGAGGGGTCATCTGGGTCCACATACACCACTTGGCTGTCTGCTTTGCAAACTAAACAGGGGGCTCGGGGGGGGGGTTGTGTGCAGTGTCACAATGAGCAGCAGGAGGGATAGGTAGTGGTACCCAGCCTATTGCACCAGGCTACAAAAAGGGGAGGGGGTGGAACTAAGAAGAGAGGCTGGAATCACCAATGGTGGGCTCTCAAGTGGACATGGGCCTCCTCATTCTTTCTCCCACATGCCTGCCATGCTAGGTCTCCTCCTGTATGAGGTATTAAGTAACATTATGGAGATGCATATGATAGTGCAAACCGGAAGGCATGAATTGGATTTGGAGTGGGATTCCACCAGCAGATGTAGGAGAACAGGGAAGCTGAACAGATGATGTCACTGAAATTCTACTCAATATCGATCCAGAGTAGATTCCAATGTATAGTTGCAGGATTCCTAAAAAATAGACCGGAGGCATTTCATCCAGCAGAGCTTTACTGCTACTGAAGGCAAATGAGCAGAATGGTCACAAATCCAATACATTCAGGATTGGCACAGTCTGTAAGAAATCCAGTTGCAGCAGACTTAACTTAAACTGACAATATTTTATCAAAAGACTAAACCTTAATGCTCTTTATATAGAACACCACATCAGTTGTAAAAAGAGACAGAATGAGAGAGAATGAAACCCAGGCTACTTCTGGCCTCACTATTATGACCTTGACAGAGATAACAGAACCAGTTTAAACCAGTGGTATTTTTTAGAACAGTGACTTTCACCTAATCATTATGACCCGAGAAATAAGCTGGGAACAATGGTTTAACTTGAGGACTGTTTTATGCTGCTTTTATGATCTTGTGACCTTTTAGTTTATTAGGTTTCATTTGGATTGACATTTTTATTATTTCATTCTTGCAATCTATCCTGGCAATATGATTGAATGGCAGTATAAAAATGCTTGTAATTAATTATTGCATTACTTCTGGGGTGACTGAGGAAAGGACAATATGGGAAATCTATAACTGGCATACCAGATCAAGCTGGTAAACGGCACTCCTAGCCACAAAAGTCACTTGGGCATCATGCTCCAAAATGCCCAATGATGGTTCTCAAAATAACACCCTACAGAACTCCGTAGCACAAGTAATAGTGAGCTAGAAAGCCTTCACCCATGCTACACTCTGGATTCCACCATGCTGGTAGGAATGAAACCACTGTAATACAGTGTCTCTAATAACCACCCTGAGTAATTGGTCCATAGTCAACAGCAACAAAAGCCACTTGAAGGGCAAGCTGGAGTAACAGGGTTGTATTCCACCTGCTCCTCTCTTAATAAAGGTGACCAAGTACACAAACCAGGCCTGAACCCTGACTGAACTGGATCCAGATAATCATTGTACTCTAGAAACACCTGCAGCTGGTCTTCTAGAACCTTCTTTATATTGTTTATAGTGTATAAATATATTGTATAAATTATACAATATTTATATTGTATAAATCCTAGAATCATTTGTTTCTATCAGTCAGCATGCTTAACACTTCAATTCACTAGGTGTTCCCTTAAACACTAATTGAAAAAAAACTGAAGTAACACAAAAGATCTTCAATTATAACATCACTATTAATATTTTTATTCTTCTCCTGTAGTTTGTGTTAGTAGGGTACTTTTGTTTGCAAAGGTTGATTCCTCAGGTTTTTAAGAAAATTATTAAGTATCTTAAAAATAAAAACACACTTTTCCCTATGATTTTTAGCTTAACCACTCAAGGCCTCTTATTCTTCAATACGCAATAACAATTATACGCAATACATTTTCAATTAAGCTGAGAGTGGAAAGTTTTAAAACATCCACGTTAGAGTGAAACAGACAAACAAAACCAATAACTGTTTTAATTACTACTATAACAGGATGGATAAATGACCTTACCTAGCTCCTTAATAGCCAGATACTGTACCCTATTGTATCTGTCTTACAGAACAGGAATTACTGTACACAGTCGTCGTGAGCAATGATGAAGTCATAATAATAATACAACCCTCAAGCCCAACTAAGAGAAACAATTGAACGTTGGAAAACGCCTACAGGCACCCAGTAAGGTCAGAAAGATGCGAGGACTGAGAACGGAACTGTTTTAGTAAGGAACGGTGAAGGTTAGGGCTGGTTCTCTCTTAAAAATTATCAACGAAGAAACTGGATGAGCTCATGGGGAAAACTCAGCTATAGAAAGGGACGTAGGCAATTTAAGGAACGCGGTAAACGGCACTTTAGAAGCAAGGCAGGGAAAGAACTAGGAAGAGGTTGCAAGCAGGAAGAAGAGCCCCCTCCCCTTCTTACAACGGAGACTGCAGTCCCGGAATAGCAGCTGGAAAGAACCTGCATGGAAGGCAACCTCACCTGCCCGCGTTCCCGCCCGGCTCACAAGGCGCCGGTACGCAAGTGCACACGCTACGGCCATTCCCTCCGCTCCTTCCCTTTTTCTTTGCCGCCCCAGCGGAACCGGAAATACAGCGCTGTGTGGGGAACGGGGGACCGGAGCAGCGACGCAGCGGGGCCGTCGGGAAACAGAAGCCCAGGAGTCCAGGGAGCGTCCGTTGCCTATTCCCGCGCGGAATCCTTCGCCGTGAAGCCTTCCCACCCCTCACTCCCACGGAGGTTTCCGCGATGGCGACGGCGGCGGTTCAGGATTTTGTCTCTCGGCAGCTGGAGATGCTGAAGGAGGAAAGGGAGGCCGAAATTTCGGAAGCCAGGTATCGCCGGCGGCTAGTGGACAGTTGCCTTCGTAGGGTTCCTACAAACGAAGCAGTGTGACTTATATTCCCGAAGGGGAAATAAAACTATTTAAAGCGAAGTACGGATTTTTTTAATGTATATTAAAAAAAGTTTCCTAGTTACTTCTGTATGGTTTGGCGTACTATAAATTGGTTTATAAAAAATCCTGAAGAGACTTGCTGAGGAGCAAACCCCGCTGAATACTGTGGAACGTTATTCTGAGGAAATACGTTTACGTATAGGGAATTGCGCTGCCCGTGGGGCCTTTATGCACACAGTCCGTCCAAAGTTTTTTCCGCCATTCAGTCAGCTTCCCTTTGGCACTTCTGAATTAATCTCTCCCGACACACAAGATGCAGTTTTGTTTGCCTATCTGCACACATTCAATGACCCTAACTAAGCGCGACTGCAAAGGTTGCAGTCCTGCACATAGGCATTTCGAAGAAGCTCTCGCACACTGATCAATTTAGGATTTTCTTCTGAATAAACGGGTAGGATTGCTTGGTGATGGGTGTCCAGGACTTTAGAGAAGGGGCGGGGGAGTAAAGCACAGAGCCAAATACAAGTAGCATTTCTTCATGAGGTAGAAGGTAATGGCTATGCTGTTTGGCTAGCAGTGACCCATAGTTTGAAAAGTTAAATGCATTGAAGATCTCAGGTGCTCGAAGAGCATAATATAGGAGTACACTAGAACCCACATGGGCTACTTAATTGATGCTGGAGCTTGCATCCCCCAAAATCTAGTGCCTGTCAAGAGAACCGGGTTAGCGTACATGGCTAAGAGATTGAGCTATTCATCAGCAAGTCCACTGTTCTAGTCATGTCTCTGGCATGAATTAACTAAAGAACCATAGAACTGCAGAGTTGCAAGGGACCCCAAGGGTCATCTAGTCCAACCCCCTACAGTGCAGGAATCTCAATTAAAGTATCCATGACAGATGGCCATCTAACCACTGGTTAAAAACCTCCAAGGAAAGAAAGTCCCTCACCACCTTCTGAAGGAGTCTATTCCTCTGTCAAACAGCTTTTACCATCAAACAGCTCTTCCTGATTTTTCTCCTAATGGCCTTAAGGAAGCCATGCTCTTAGCTCCCACCCCCCAATACAAGCCCAGGGGAGACAGGAGATGGTCATAGTCTTATGTTGCAGGGTAAAGATTACAACTAGATTTTATAATTTATGTTTATAATTTATTTTCATGAGCTGCTGTTGGGCCTACTGACTGGCAATTGGTAGAAAGATCTGATCTGAATTTAGTGGTGGTAGTATTGTACTGTTGTACTGTATTGTTTGTTTTAGTTTTGCTCTAAATGAAGTAAAAGTTGTTCTAAGAATAACATTTTACTGGGTTGTGTGCTGCTCTGGATTTCTCTGAAGGGCAGTGTGTAAACAATAATACTAGTAAAGATGCCAATGCACAGAAGCAGCCTTTCGTTTACTCAAATTGTGGTGCATATGACCTTAGAGCACCTTTCTAGAACCAAAACTATCAAAGGTACAGAATCCCTGTCTTGCGTCAAACCTGGCAAACCTTGGGCTTTGTACATACTTACCTGGGGGTAAGTCCCATTGAACTTACTTCTGAGTAGGCTAGTATGCACTGTTAGTAACCAGCAGCTATTGTAAATGGTTTCTGTTTCTCACAGTGAAAGTATATAGTTTAAGTGATACCATCCTGTTTGCTTATATCATAGTAAAAGAAACTAAAGTTTTCAAACTTGTGCAACCATGGGCTTAGTTGCTGAGTATTATTTTATTGTTATAAAGTAAAATGGGCTCTCCTCCCTAAAGATGAGTTAAATGTCTTAACACTTATTTAGGTGAGTAATCCTTGTAGCACTTGTTGGAAGATTGTTGGAAGATTTTCTAAAATTACCTGAAAAAGTATCGAAATAATCAGACTTTCAGGCTAAGGCCTGTATCCAAAGAACCATGCACTCAGTTCCTCACACCCAAGGGAACTCTAGATTTGTTTCACAAACAGCAGCCAGAAGCAAATTATTAATTGAAAGTCTCTCATTCCCTACATTCCCTCCAGGGCCAAGGGGAAAGCAGGCTTGCACACCTCTGTTTATTGCTCTGAAGTGAACTTCCAAAGAAGCTTTTCATATAGAGCAGAATAGCCCTGAGATATATTAAAGACTCTGCTGCCTGTCAATAGCCCCTGATATCTCAATGCTTCCTGTTGATAATTGAATATTTTCCCCCTTTGAGGCTTCGCGCAGTTGCCCATGGCTTGTCAGGCAGCCAGCGTATGATGGTAGATCAGTTAGTGCAGGGTTGTTCAGTAAATTACTTCTGGATAAATGTAAATGTGGTATCTCTTATTTCTGGAGTCATTATTTTATTCTACATGTGCATAGAATCTGTTAATCTTTGTACAGCTTGTAACTTCTGTGTTCCTCTTTTTCCCCTGCAGAGTCTTTTGATCCTTTGCAAATGTTAATTTATATTATGCAAATTACCAAGTGTCCATTTCCTAGTATTGAGGCTAAACTAAAAGAAAAAAAGGTGGGTGGAGAGATGCCAAACGGTTCGGATTGCTGTAAAACTACCCAAGCAAGAATCTTAATTTACCCAGGCCTAGCATACATGGACACACAGTAAGGCCCTTGTGTAGACATACATCAACCTGAGGTAGCTTAGAAAGTGGTGGTACTAGGTTCCTCCAGGTACAGGTCAAAGCATTAATCTGTGTAATCTCAATGCCCCAGCAGACATGAATGCACACCTACATTGTCTCATAGTTTTATATTATTGTCCTTCTTTGGAAGGGTGCCAAAAGAGAAGAATTGTGCTGCAAAAAAAGAGGAAAGAGACTTGAATAAGCTTTGCATACACTATTCTATATTTGCAAATTTAGAAATCAATTATGTACTCTAAATAGAAATATACTACAGTTCACGAAACAATAGTAGGGAAGGTAGTGAACTGTGGACTTGCTCAGTTTGTTGCCCTGGTGCTAATGGTTGATGGGCTACTGCAAGACCCTGCTTTTCTTTCTTACAGTTCTGTATCTTTAAAGTAGACTTGGACAGCCCTTCAAGTAGAGGGGACTCTTTCCAATAAAGGACTGTCCTGTGACAGCCCTTTACATAGAGGACGGACCTCTGAAAATAGGACACATGGCCACTCAATCTACGGGATGTTCCTTGTTGTCTACCAGCATTTCTCTTCACATTCTTCATGGGCAGAGGGAGAGTGGAAGAGGACCAGACCAGATCTTAATTCATACCATTCTCAAACTTCTGAATCTATAACAATTTTATGTTTTGTTTCAGGGCATGGAAGGAAAGTTTCTCCCTCAAAGAGCTGCAGCGCAAAGGTGTCTGCTTGCTGAAACTTGAAGTAGCCAGTCAAAGAACGGGGTTGTATGGCCGTCTGCTTGTAACTTTACAACCTAGAAAGCATAGCTCAGAAACGGAGCTGCCCTGCAATAATTTTGGTCCTGGTGAGTAATCCGTTGTTGACTTCAATAGCAAGCAGACAGAAAAGCTAAGCCTCGGTGCATGACATCACAAGCTCTGTCTGTTCCAGCAGCAGGAGAACCATCCTTACTTATGAAAATTAAACTGTGAAGTAGATTGTTTTCTGGTCTTGTTTTAACATTAGCCTATATTGAGAAACCTACTAATATTAGGTCAAATTTACTTGATCATTTCAGGTAGTTAGTATTCAGCTCAAGACTGATGAAACCTAGTGCTGGAGGGTATTTAGTTCTCCCATTCACTCTCTGCCTATGACGATAGGTGTCCAACAGTTTTGACAGGAGGAGGTGCCACAGAAGACTGGATGGTGCTAGATTGTGTGACATTTGCAGTGGGGAGAGGCAAAGCAGATCTTCGATTATATGGCAGCTGGCCAGAAATTCATTAACTAAAACTCAGATGAATTCTGCTCTCTCTTCCGAGACTACATTCTGGCTCAAGTTTATGAATCTGAGGAAGTGGTGAGGGTCCTTTAAGGTTTACAGACCTAATTCCTCAAGAACAATGTGATTTGCCAGGGTAGTTCTCCATTGATTCTGTTATAGAATATAATTTTAAATAGATACATAATTCTTTAAAGGGGCAGACATGTAGAATGATAAGAAACTGTGGCTTCAAAGTACTTCCCTCCCATTAATTAATTTGCTTTTCAATCTTGTATGTGTTTACCTTGCATTTGTTTTTTTAAAAAGGAAAACCAGGCCCTTAAAATCTTTCTACAAATTATCTTCAAAAACAAAAAGCTTCCTAAAAAGAAACCCCATAGGTGCCTTTTAAATCTATCTTTTTGGTATGGGAACTAAAAAAAGTTTGCAGTTTGCCTTGGAAAGCCAATGTAAAGTTGTGGTAGTAAATTAATAGTATGTAGACTTAATAGGACCATTAACATCTTTGTTGTTCACCAGAGTTCCTCATAGATCACGGTTTCAAAAATCAATTCTTGATACCCCTGGCCTGGTAACCAGCTACTTTTGTTTTATTGAGAGTAGTCTAAGTCATTACTTACTGTACAATCAAGCAAAATGGTTCAGCAGAGGCTCACACCTGAAGTTATCTGATGTTTGCAATTAATTTAGGCAGCAATCCTGTTCCTACTTACCTAGGAATACCTGCATTGAATTATGTGGAACTTGCTCCGAGTAGACAAACGTACCCACTACCCCTGCTCCATTCACCTTATTTTCTCCTTCCTATGCACTTTATTAGCTCTTTCCTCCTCCCACTGTGTTGCTCTTCTCCCCTTGAAGCCAAGATGACAGGGAAGCAGTGGGCAGTCACCTCTGAGGTTGTTGTTTCTGCACTTTGCTTCAGTACTGGTGGCTCTTCCTTGCATGCACCCTCTGTTTTCCTGTATTAAAACAGGACTGGGTATGGCTTGCTGCTTTGCAGTCTTAGATAACCTAAATCTAAGGCTGGAAAGGAAGATAGCTCTTCTTTCATCTTCCCAAATGCAGCCTTGTTTAGGCTGTTTGGCACAAACTTGTGTTCTGGTGGCTCCAAGCTTCCGTTCCAATATGTACAGGTGAGGGAAGAGTCAAATAGAACGCTGCAACACATTGGGAGCAGTAGAAATATATAAAAAAGATTTAAAAAATTGTCCAGTAGCACCTTAGAGCAGTGTTTCCCAACCTTGGGCCTCCAGCTGTTTTTGGACTACAATTCCCATCATCCCTTGCCACTGGTCTTGCTAGTCAGGATGTTGGGAGTTGTAGTTCAAAAACAGCTGGAGGCCCAAGGTTGGGAAACACTGCCTTAGAGCATAGCTGTCAACCGTCCCTTATTTGGTGGGAAACTCCCTTATCCCAGCAACGTTTCCCGCTGCTGTCCCGGGTTGATGATGTCCTGTAAATTTCCTGGGTTTCAAAGGAATCAGCTCCTCTCCCTCCCTCCCTGCCGGCCAGGGAGGAGGGAGGCTCCAACTGTGTTGCTTGGCTGCGTTGCTCACCCAATAAGGAGTCTAATAACGACTGGGGGGTGGAGCTTGCATGCTTACTTTGTGCCGATCAAATCAGCCGCGTTGCCTGTGGACTCGCCTTTGCTCAGTGCTTCCCAGCAGAGAGGTGACAGTGGTTTTCCTTGCTGCATCCCCTTTGCCGGGTTGTTGCGCTGTGGGAACCACCGCTTGAGGCTTCGTTTGGCTGCTGGCTGACTAAAATCCCTTATTTTGGCTGCTGATCCCTTATTTTCGAGGCTGCTGGTCCCTTATTTTCAAATCTGTAAGTTGACAGCTATGCCTTAAGAGACCAACTAAGTTTGTTCTTGGTATGAGCTTTTGTGTGCATGCACACTTCTTCAGATACGTGAAGGAGAGAGAGACAGATAGCCCAGACATACTTGGCACATGTTTCAAATCTGAACCTGTGTTAACAGCATCCCAAGGGAATCCTTTGGGGCTGTTTCTTTTGAGGAGGAGGAAAGGGGGGGGAATAGGCAGGTTATCTCTTTAAGGCTAGGAGGGAGATTGGAGACTCACCTGGGGCCAATTCTTTCTTGCCACAGGCAATCAAGCAAATGGTTAATTGTATACCAGAATTAACTCCTCAGCTGTGCATGATAATAGTAATTGGGGAACAGCATGGCATTGCATCCTTGGCTATTTTAAAACAAAAGACTTTGGAAGTGGATTGCATGGAGCTATAGAAACAGGAACTTTGGAAAGCGCCCCCCGCCCCGCCCCAGATAAGCACATAATCTCCCTCTGCATTGTTTCTGAAAGAGCACTTCATTTCTGAAATGCCAGCATGGGCTACAGAAATTGTCCGTTGGGTTCACAATTGCTAGTGAGTGATCATTTTCAATTATGCAAAGTTGCGTTTCTCTCTTAATGAATAAATATTTCAGAAAGATGAGGGAGTCAGACAGGAGAGTGGAAAAAGACAGATGGAAATGAAAATGTGGTTTCCTGTAGTTGTAATTGAGTGATGTGAATCTAAGAGAAGGTGACTTTCCGCCCTGCTCCTCAGGTACAAGCACAGTGGATTGATTTTATTCTGGCAATTTAAACTGGCAATTCCTATAACAATTTAAGATGCATAACAATCTTTATTTAATTCACTGGTATAAAATGAGTTTCATTGGTACTTGAATTACTTACTGAAGCAGAATGTATTCTCATTGCTAGATACAATCAATAGGGGTTTGTTGATTGGTTTTTGGAACTAAGTGGTGCTTGCATGGCTAACACTTGCTATATTTTAGAAATATAAATCTGTGAGTGTGTTTTAAAACTGATAATGTCTGTCCTGGGGGCTCTATATATACTGTGTGATTCTGGAGACTTACTATTAACTAAGGGCATCCTGGTATGCTGATCTAAATTCTGTGTGGGCCAAGACGAGAACTGGATCAAGGCACTCAAAGATCCTGGCTTCCTTGAGATGTACATAAGTCTGATGGCGTGCCTAGTTTCAGTGTTCAACTAAAGACCCAATCTTCTCAGTGATGTTGCTGCCAGGTCAACTACAATGCCTGTCTTCATACTGAGCATATCGGATTGCACAACTTCTGCTTATTAATGCAATATGGCTACTTTAAGAATGTATTGAAACAGTCATTTCCTGTGTTATTAAAACAGAAGTGAACAAAGTTGGTACCTTAAAAAACCGGGTATCATTGGTGGATCTGTAATAGGATTCCTCCTAGTCTTGTGTTTTCCCATCCAGTCCATATTACAGGCAACAACCAGCCAGCGTGGGATGAACCTGATGAAATGAAATAGCTGGGTGTTGAATTTTCAACTCAGTGCCAAGTTCTGTGCTTTTTCTACTCTGGCTTCAAGGTGAAGCTTCACAGCTGATTAGTCAGGATCTTGGTGGACATGTGGGAGGTGAAAATCGATCCTGGGGGGTCCAGGCAGCCAGTTGTGTGGAGCTGAATGGGTGGATTGCAGAGGGCTCCTGCAGTCATTCCTGAGGACTGGAATGTTTATTAGTAGGGATCTCCGTATAGCCTTCGCTCAGTGGAATACTGCTTATGTCCCAGGTTTAACCCCCCAGTTAAATAAAGCTGTGTCAGACAATGGGAGAGACTGCTAGGAAAGAGCTACTGCAAGTCACTGTAGACAATGGTGGGTTTGATGGGCAAATAACCAAACCATATTGCCTGCTATTCTGTATCCTGAATGTTCTTCTCTGTTTCATCTGCAGGTGACATTGTTGGACTTTATGAAACAGCAGGCCAAGGTGATCAGCTCTCCACAGGACTTGTCACCCGTATAGCTCCCAAATCAATCACGATTGCAATTGATGAGCCTCAAAGTAACCTTGTGAGCTTGGACCAGGGGAACTCCTATCGTCTGCTGAAACTTACCAATGATGTCACATACAAGAGGCTTAAAAGGTAAAGCCACTAATATAGGACAGATGTTGTTTTATTGTGTACCTGAAACGGATAGTAAGCATGCCTTTCTTTTCAAAAGTTGTAAAAATAATGGGGAGAAAGTATGTTGTTCTCCCACCCCCTCCCTTTTCCATATTATCACAGGACAACAAACTTTGTACAAGGGCTCCAAATGCCGGATTTGGTGACGTAGGTACTCACTACTTATAAGCAAAGTAGTGGGATTCCTTACCTAGTTTAGTAGTATGGGTTCATAGAATTATAGAGTTGGAATGGAAGAGATCCAGAGTGTCATCTAGTCCAACCCACTACAATGCAAGGGAGAGAGGATGTTCAGCTTTTTCTCCCCTCCCCCACAAAACCCCCCCTCTGCAATCCAAAGACTGCAGAGATGAACAACACCCAGCTCTTGAAGTTTAGAGCAGAAGTTTATTCATGTTTGACAATATTGTCTGAGTTTTAAAGGAATTGTTTTTAAGATTCACTCCCTTTGTATTATTTTCTGTGGCAGGGCCTTAAACACACTTAGTCAATATCGCTCTGGGCCTGCATCTGGTCTTATCGGCGTCCTCTTCGGTTCTTCTAAACCTAGTGATGCCAACAATATAAGTAAGAACTTTTCCTTCTCTATATAGAATGTGGATACCATGCTGAAAAATTCTGAAGACTGGAGAAGTCACTGTAGCACATACTGTTCCAACTATGATGTACAAATATATTTTCTTAGCAACTCCGAGAGAACTGCCTCGCCAATCTATTGTGTCAGTTGAGGAACAGTATCACTGGAACATCTGATGCAGTGCTAAGTGCATCTGGCACCACTGCTCTCTGGCATTGGCACTCCCTTACACGTGCATCACAGTAGCATAAACTTTTGTTGTGCAAGGAGCTTGCATCAGTACAAAATATTGTTGTGGAGTGTCTTCATACATTTAGAATCCTGATGTCCTCAGCAGTCAATGGAGCCAGACACCAAGTGGAGAGGCCACTCTTGTTCCACATGTCTTTCCCAGTATGAGGCAGCACCACTGAGGTTACTCATGAGGTGGGGGGCAGGGCGGGTTGTTGTCACCATTTTAGATTAAGGTGCAGTGGCAGGAGCTCAGTTCTTGCTGGTTAGGCTGGTAAGTATTACACTTGAAAGTAGAGGAACTTCCTTGTGCGGTTGTTCAGCAGCAACAGAAGAATAACGCAGTGATTCCTATTAACCAGTATTCAATAGGGAATGTTTGTGTGGCTGTCTAACCATATGTGTGGTTTCCCCTTATGCTTTGTTTCCAGTTTAACCCTTACTGAGTACAGCTGGGAGGTTACACAGCTATGATTCCTTAATGTAAAGTGTTGGTGAAAGCAGGAACAGTGCTAAGAGCACCCGCAGCTATCACCCTCCTGTAGACTGAAGGCTATGGGGGTACCAAATGCATTTGGTTGATGCACAATTTCTGTTGGTGAGCAAGGCTACCAAACATTATTCCCCAGAGTTCTGAAGTATAGTTTACCCTTGGAGTTTTGAGGAGTCCATAATGGACTCACAAACTCAACAGGGGTATTAGATGTTTTTCAAAAGGGCATCTTTAGAATGTGGTAGGGCCAGAAATTAATAGAGGACAGCCAGACAATGGCAATTTGTCTGAATGGTTGCAAGATCCTGTCATGAGATGCAATCCACCAGCTTTCATGCTCTGCATCCTTCATTCATTTTAATGGGCACCGTACCAGTATTCACAGTAGTGTCCCCCACCAGCTAGTCTTAAACCTTCCAGTTTCAGTTACTTATCCCTGTTCTCTGTCACCCAGGAATCACCTGGGCCAACAGACACAAGTTCTGGTGCCAAGAAAAACACCATGGCTTACACAATATAACAGGTCTTAAGTTTCAGCTGCATGTTACAGGTACTTTTACGTATTGTGTGAACTGAGCAGTCTAGTTGTTCTCAAGAATAATATGTGGGACGAAAAGGTCACAGTCCTATAATATCCTGTTTCCAGTGAACAATGCAGTACACGACTGCTTATCTAATTCAACTACTGGAGAAAGGTGGCACATACTTTCTGATGCAGATGTTTGCCAGAAGATTAGTCAGTGTGTCAGGGCCAATCTGCATGCTTGGAAGAATCATATCATAGAGCTCAATTATCCCATTTCCAAAGCAGGTGGTAGCACACATTTGCATTCTCCTCCCCATAAAAAGCTATCTTCACACTGAAGACTAGCTCAGCAGGAGGACAGCTAGGCCTAGGCTAGCACCTGTGAATCCTGTATTAATTAATTAAATGTATATCCTCTTCCAAAGGAGCCCAGGGTGGCAGACAACAAAACAATAAAAAGCATATTGAACCATTTCAATGCAGATACAGGCTGGGAAAGAACTCCACGTAAAAGGCTTTTTGGAAAAGGAATAATGATAGCTGGTAACCACCAGAGGTCAGCATTCTCCTATGAGCAGCATATGCTTAAGCCATCCTGTAACTGCTCTTACTTTTCTTCTCATCTTCTCTTGAAATGTACTTATTCCATTTTTTTAAAGGAATCTGTATGAAGGATGTCTTTGTGCAGCTGTGTGAACGTTCTGGTGCTGCTAAGGAGAATGTGAGAAGCTTGTTAGGTCTGCATTGCTGTGCTGCTTCAAAGTGGCTTTCCCTTTGGTCAGGCCTGGCTGGTCTTGATTATGGCACCTGCCCATTTTTCTGAGCTGCTGCATAGTGGGTTTCCCAGAATGCTTATGTACATATAGTGTGCACACACTGTACTTCCTTTTATTTTGGCAACATTATTCAGCATACTGCCTTCTGCCTAGTTGTCCACCGTGTGCTGCAGTGAGGAATCTCCATTGCTCCCTGCTGCTGTGACCAGCCAGTCAGTCTCACATCACCTAGAAGTAGCAGCATACAGGAGCATGGCCAGCCACTACTACCCACTAAGTGAGGCCAACCTGCACCATGGGTCCAGCAGTGGCATTGCTGCAGACCCAGAAGGAGACATCTTGCTGTACCACCACGTGAGATGCCAGTGATCTAACTAGTTCATTCTAAGGTAGCAGCAGCTGTGGTTAGTCAGAGTACCTGGCAGCTGCTGTAGACAAGCTTAGCGGGTTGTGTAACACTGAATGCTAGATGTAACAACATGCAATAGGTTGAGCTTTCAGAGGCAGCTGGCTGGTTGTTATGCGGTTCAGAATGCTGGATGGGGACTGGGCAATTCTTACAGGGTCAGGGCAACATTATAATAAAAGATTCAACCTTACTGTTGTGGGATCTTTTCCAGAGTTCAGTAACATGTGAATTCACATGGAATGTAATTTTTTTTTAAACCCCCTTTTTTTAAACAAAACCACAGAATCTGCTACAAGCATTAGCCTAGCCTTGCCGATTTCCCCTCTGAAGAGGGGAAAACCATTTCCGTCAAAAGTGCTTCCAATGGTAAAACAAATAAAGCAGTTACAGTTACTAATAAAACTGTAAAACAAATCAAAAGAAGGCGGGAAGAAATGGTCAGTGTAAAGCGTGCCTTCTGTAAAACTGAAAGGTGCATCCTGATGGGTCATCCAGGTGGAAATGCTAAAAATTGAATGAATTGGGGTACTTCCCTTTCCTGCTGTTTAGAATGAGAAAGCTCTTGGCAACCTGGTTTAGCAAAGGTGATGCTCACTGCCCCTTCTGATGTGCCAGCTCCTTGCAGATACAGAGGAATTAAATTGTCAGTTCTGTGTCTTTTGCCAGCCTGAAATTACAAACGCAAGTTCCATGTAGCATTTGCCAAACTAACAATGAGAACTCCTACTTGCCAACTGTTCCTCTTTCGTAAAAAAGAAATCCAAAACACCCTCCTTTATATTTTACTTGATTTCCTCTGGACCTCGGAGACCAAATGTTCTTCTGCTGATTATTGTAACACTCTGACATCAAACAAGCAGCAGGATAGAGGCCAAAGCCATCCTCTTTTATCTTTTGCAGTTGAAAGGGTAAAGTTTAGATATTCATTATATGAACTCCTGTAACATTTGCTGTTCAGAACATTTTTAGCGTCTCAAGTCTGCTCCGAAAGTGTTCTCACTGTGTTCAAGACAAATGTACCTCTACTTTTGAAATCTTGATCTCATTTATCTTTGCACGGCTGGATAGGATATTATTTAGTAACCCTGTTTTGCAGATGAGAAAATGAGGCTGATAGATTGTATGGCTTGCTTTAGGCCATGGAAAAAGGGCTTCTGTCTAAGCAGGAATTTGAACATGCCTCTTGCACTTACAAGCTCCTTTGCAATCATTGCCATGGTGCATATTGCTCTTTCTTGCTTCCCACTTTTGTAGGATGCTATTAATGCTATTAATCATTCTAAGAAGCCCTGTCATATCTACTTAAGCAGTGCTGGTGTTTGGCCTTCTAGCAAGGAAGGTGGGTTTTTTTAACAAAAGCAAAAAACCAAGAACTTCTTAGTGAGATTATGATCGTGGGATTTTTGTAAATGTACTGCCTCTTTAAAATACATCCTGGCACAACACACTGACTTTCTATTCCAACACAGATTTAGATAATGATGCAGAATGTCTCTGAAATAGAGTTTGAAGACTGGGAATATTTGCAGCTAAACATAGTCTGTCTTAAAGGCAGCCAGGACTCAGTATGGGCTCACACTAGGGATCCTGACTCCTCTGAGTATTAACTTGGATGTTTCCTTTGTTGCAAAGGTTATTTTTGCTATCAAATCTGCTTCCAGGAGCAGCCTCTTATTTGCATTGTTGCGCTTGCTTTCTTTTGCAAATGTTCTTTGCGGGACTGAGAACTGAACAAATGCTCCTCCTGCTGCTTCTCGCAGAGCTGTTGAAGTACTACAATGAATCACTGGATGCCTCTCAAAAGGAGGCTGTTTGCTTCTCGCTGGCACAGAAAGAGCTTGCCATCATCCATGGACCACCTGGAACAGGCAAAACGACTACGGTGGTGGAGATAATACTCCAAGCTGTTCAGCAAGGCTTGAAAGTGAGTGAGTGGGTATGGATTCTAAGGGAGCTGCTTGATGGCAGAACATAGCGATGGCCGCCTAATCCTGGACAGTTTTGTATGATCTGGCAGCAGCTCTCCAGGGGTTTGATGTCCCCAAAGGTTGGGAAACATAGCTGAGTCCATTACCATTTCCATTACTTCAGCCCAGCCATTCTGCATTTTACGACATGTTTCTGTGTCCCTTTGAATTCTATGGGAACTGGGTTGATAGCAAGAAGAGGGAGCATCACTTTATTAGCAGACTATATAAGATCTTTTACATCTTTTACATCTTGTATTTGTCCCCATGACAGTGTGGCCCTCTTGTGCCCTAGTTATAGGTTGGGGAGTGACTCGGAATAGGTTGCAAGACTCCTCCAAGATTACAATAGACGGTGTTGGCTGGGGTGGATCTGCTGTTTGAACCCATTTGTCCATACTACTGAAGCACCTTTAACCATTAATTTGAGGTCCTCCCTACTGACCTTGTATTTTTTCCTGAAGCAAAACTGGGAGAGATCATAAGAAGGTAGTAAAATTACATGTCAGATCCTGAGGCCTGGGTTTGACTCTGGAATAATGAGAAACTTCATCATAATCATTATTATTTTTAAATGTGGCTCTTCCCCTGGCACTTATAAAAGGATCTCCTTTCCCTTCTGTTTTGAAGGTGTTTCTTCAAACTCTCCTAATCACATTTTTTGCATATCTTTTTTGGCCATTTTAGTGAAACAAATGTTTTTTAAAATGTGCTCCTCTCCTAGGTCTTGTGCTGTGCTCCATCTAACATTGCAGTTGACAACTTGGTAGAAAGACTCGCTGGCTGTAAAGAGCGGATCCTGCGCCTTGGTCACCCGGCTCGTCTCTTGGAGTCCATACAGTGCCATTCACTTGATGCAGTCTTGGCACATGGGGATAATGCCCAGATTGTAGCAGATATCAGGAAAGATATTGATCAAGCATTTGTGAGTTTTGCATTCTATTTTCCACAATCTTTCAGAATATGTTTCTGAAAAGTGCAGAATGTATGCTTCTGAGAAGGTATAAGTGCAATACAGTCTGATGCAGGCATGGCCAAATTTGGCCCTCCAGATGTTTTGGGATTGCAACTCCCATCATCCCCAGCTAGCAGGACCAGTGGTCAGGGATGATGGTAATTGTAGTCCCAAAACATCTGGAGGGCCAAGTTTGGCCATGCCTGGTCTGATGTATGAAATATTCAGAATCATGGGATTGCTTTTTGTTTTTCAAAGAAGCAAGCACATAGCCCTCATTGTTGTGGAGGGCAATTCTGACATGTGTGTAGGCAGTGTAAAGTTGGAGGGTCAAAATCAGGGTTATTTATTTATTTGCTAATTTTATTTATAAAATCTACAAACAGGAATAATAGCATAATACACATAGCTCTGAAACACCAAAGCAGATTTAACCAAGGCCCACTCTCCAAACTTAGGAAAATGCACATTTTTTGGCCCTCATTCAGCCTATTATCTCATCCAGGCACTGATTCAGAAGATATGAGTCTATGTGTTAGGTCTATGTCTAGAAAAAATGTGATCTGTGAAATAGCTGTACATAATCAGACCTATCTCACTTTTTCATGACAAGTGTATATATGACTGCTGGACTCAGTAGAACAGCGAAATACTTAAGGAGAGATTAAAAAGCATAACCTCTTCCTTACTGGAGCTTAGTAAGTGTTAGCACTTCCCCCTTTTAGCTTTGGCCTTTGCTTTTAAGGTCAAGGCTTTCATGGAAACCCGCCCCCACATTGAAGCTCATTGGGGCTGAATGGGGTAGTGATTTCTGAATTCTCCATATTTCTTTTTCCTGATCACCACCCAAGTAGAGAATGCAATGCACCCATAGCATTACCACTTAAAAGTATTGGAAGAAAATTCATTAAAAGTCTTGGTAGCTCAATTTGTTACATGTTCCACTCGTCGCAGCCTAGTTTTAGAGTTCTCTGTCATCCTCTTTATTTAATTTCCTGCTTTAAACTTAATTTAAAATGTGGCACTAATTTAATTGGGATATTATTTATTATTACAAATTATTGCATTTCTTTCCCAGTGACATTGTACAAAATGGCTTCATAATTAAATTAAATGCACTATGCTGGGAATTTGTCTACTATCACATAGAGGCATACCTGAAATGGGTTTCCGGACTTGGCACACACTTTTGCCTGCCCTGCCCTGTTTTAAGCCCCATCAGTCTCTGGGAAATGATGCAGTAATGATCTTTATTTGTCTTGTTTGCTCCTTAATACCTTTGCTTCTTTAGCACCCTCAAAATAATAATAATAATAATAATAATAATAATAATAATAATAATAATTATTATTATTATTATTATTATTATTATTTATACCTCGCCCATCTGGCTGGGCTTCCCCAGCCACTCTGGGCTGCTTCCAACAAAGCATTAAAATACAGTAGTCTGTTAAACATTAAAAGCTTCCCTAAAAGCATTTTTACTAGTTATAATTAGTATTATTCTCATTTATTTACACAGTGCTTTATAACCTTTATTGTGCAAATTGTCACAACACGCACACATAGGTAGGTGGTTGTTCCTCATATTATGGATGACAAGCTGTGGCTGAGAGATATTGACAAGGCAAGTGTTGGAACTGGAAGTTTAACCCAGGTCACCCAGATTTATGTACACTTTGCTGTAAATAAGCTTTCTTAGTGATACCTTCTAGATCTCTTTCCATCCAATCCCTGGTTAGCAGCTGGCTTTGCTGGAGAGCCACTCAGAGTATTGGGATGGAGGGTCCCAGGCCTGAGATGCTGTTTGCTCTACACCTTCCTCTGTCACTATTATCCTTTAAAGATATATTTGCAGACCTGACAGTGGCAATCTAGAACAGAGTTTGGTTGGGTGGGGGGATTTCCTGTGTGGTGTTGGCATTGCAGAGGGATGAAGTTGGAGCAGGGGATGAAATGAATGCAGTGCTTGTTTTTATTTGGAATTGATAAAAGTGCAGTGGGTGCCAGAACAAAATGTTTGCCATGGGTAGCAAAAAAACACCGACTGGATGCATAGATTAATTGAATCATATGCAGGTGTGAATGCTAACTAGACAGATTCCATCCTGTGAAGTCAAATCTCCCCCCTCTCCTTTTCTTTTGTATATCAAGAAATAAGGCAAGGAACATATGCTCAGTTTTGACTTACCAAACAAAATGCAGGCTGCTGGTCACACTATGTTCTCCAATAGTCCATGGCCACAAGAAGTTTAGAGGTCTACATACCACAAGGTTATTTACTGGGGGGGGGGGCGGGTTTGGTGTTACAAAAAGTAGCCTCTTGGCCATCAGTGTCTAGGTACATAAATGCTGCCTTCACTTTCTCCACTGCTCTGTAGGAGAGCTGCCTGTTTGTGAATTAAGTTTGCCTCGTTGAAACAAAAAAACCCCAAAACCTAACAGGCAAACTGAGGTGAGAATGTTTTCTGGCTTGTTCAGAGATGAGAGCTATCCATTGTGTTCTCTGGAGCAGTGGTGTTCTGATGTACAATCTTCCCTTAAACTACAGTGGCCGACTATTTAAACTAGAGGATAACAGACAACTCTGCTGTTAACTGCAATTTATTTGTGTAATACCCCACACTGCACTGAGAGCCAGAGTGGTATACTAGGAGAAGACACCAGCATCCATGAAGGTCACTGGTGACCTTGAGTCATTCACTCTCGACCGTGCCTATTTCACACAGCTGTTGTGAGGATATAATTGTGGTGCTGGTGGCTGTACATCACCTTAAGCACCTCTCATGGGAAGGTTAGGGTATAATAGTCATCAACCTCTCTCAATAATGAAGTCTCAGTGCCCTCATGCCGATCAGAACGGAACCAAAATGGATCCACTGAGAGACAAGAGGGAGGTATCAGCATGCTTGTGGGAGGGGAAATCCCAAGTTTTGGAGAAGTACAATTTAAAAAACTACCGCAACCACCAAAATCCTAATGAGGGCTCAGTATGTTCAGTGGACACCAGGCATTGCAGAATGTTGTGTCCGTTGGAAGAGAAAACTAAAGCAGTAGAATGAATTAGCTTTTTTAGTCCCTAACATACGATATCCTGGAAGAAGGCACACTGGACAAGAACACCCCTGTTCGGAGATGAATATATACTACAATATCTTGTTGCAGTTTCTACTTGTACTGTAATAATATGCTGGGAGCTAAATGTTCTCCTTTAGTAAAAGCTACAGAGTTTGCCTCTTTCAGCATTTTCAGATTTCTCCTTATAATAAGCTTTAATTGCTGGAGCAATGAAACAGCTCAGAAGTTGTTCCCTATTTGGGAGGAATCCAGGAGAGTGTAATTGTTTTGAGAGATTAGTCCCCTCCCAAAGCAAATTGCAATGGAAAGTAGCTTGCCTATCTCTCCAGTGTCTCCACAGCCAGCAATCATGGAAAGGGTTCAGCAACTTTATAGGTTTTGTATATTGCAGTTGCTTCACTTTTTACTTTCTTACTTTATTTCATTATTTCTTATTTTATTTTGTTGTGTCCCAAGAAAATAAAATATCCAGAATAGCTAAGATTATTATTATTTTTTGGATCATCTCCTAGCACAGGAGTATGAAAGACTTTCTATTATATGGGATATTTCTTGATTTCTAAACATGCCCCCCCAGGGTTGGTGCCTTAAGACTTTTTAGGCTTGTTTGATATAGCATTTTGAAGGAAGCAACAAATGAGACACACAGGCAATAGCATAGGCTGAAAGACCCATTTAACACCACCCAGTGACCTCCGTGGCTGGGCAGGAGAGTGAGCCTTCTATATCCAGTCCCAACATTCTAGCCACTTCATTGCACAGGCCCAGAAGGGTAGCAGTATCACAGTAATAAAGGCTAGCAATTTTATTATTATGTCACAATATTATTTGTGAGGACTTGAGACAAAGCCAATGGGGAAGGGGCAACTTGTATTAATTAATAAGGTTTCACATTCTTACATACTTAGTCTGGTATATCTTGTAGTTTTTAAAATCCTGCACCCATAGTTGCCTCTTTTGAACAAGAACTGATATTAATGCTGCAATCCTATATAAATTTAGCTGGGAGCAAGTTTCATTCAAATGAATGAAACTTCTGAATTGGTATGTATATGATTTTAATTGTAAGGCCATAATTATTATTTTTTGCAGTTTAATACTACAAAAAATGAAGTTGTTTCTAGATATTTGTTTATGTTTTATTTGTCCCCTTCATCCTTTCCAGGGCTAGAAACTTTGTGTTTAATAAAATATGTGATTCGGGCCATTTTGACCGCAATCTCTTGGCCAAGAATAACTCTGCTGCAGAGCGCATGTGGTGCATTCCTGCACTGAGCATGAAGTTGATTATTAGTTCACACTATGCCCCAGGAGAACTCTGGGGGCTGGATGGTGGTGAGCACAAGGTTTTTTGGTTTGGAGCCTAATTTCTCCATGAGTAGAAGGAGAGTTGCACTAGTACCCCCCCCCAACTTTCACGGGGCCATCCAGTCCCCAGAAAAGGGGGTATAGGATGTTCAGCAAATAACGCAGGAAGGGAGAGCAAAATAAATTAATTCTCAGAGGAGGACAAGGGTGACTTGCCATTTATAAGAGTAGTCGGCAGAGGGTTTTCACCTTCTTTTCTTTCAACCAAAATGGCTTTGCTTCAGTGGCAGAACTTCATATGGCAACCTGGCGACATTCCCATGTCCCACAGAGTGGCCCAATGGGAGCACTGCCACATCATGGCAGCATTGTCCCCAGTGGCATTGCTGGCGGGGGGAAAAGAAGATGGTTCCCCAACTGGCCACTGCGGGGAGCAGCTACCTGTGCCCCAGCCATGCCTTGGGGAGTGGTGACGTTACATCGTGACATCATTGGGCCATTTCTGCAAGACATTGGAACGTCACCAGGATGCGGGTGGTAGTTGAGACTATGGTAAGTGGTGGTGTTGTTGAAGAAAAGAAAGCAGAGAACCTACTGCCTTCTCTTATAAATAGTAAGTCTCTCATGCGCTTCTGAAAATGAATTGATTGTGCCCATCTATGCTGAAAATTATATACCTCATCTCCCAGACAAATGCTGTAGGGGTACCTCATGGTTATCTATATCAACAGGAGTTTAGGTAGGTTGCCTAGTTCTCATACATTTGGTGCCTGCTCAGAGTTAGAAAGGTGTCCCTCTTCGAACTGAGGTTTTCATCCAGTGCAAGCTAGATGGCATAATGGGGTTGCCTTGAGATGAAGGCATGCCAAACAAAGCTAAGATGAGGAGAAATATAGAAACTTTGCCTCCATCTTACTTTGCTGCCAATTTACACCTGTGACGTTGAACATGCCTCTGACCTAAATCACGAGATTATTTATATTGTGAGAGATTTATTGGTGTTGGGAAGTCTTGTATTGTACAATATGCTGCTTAGATGTGACAAACCACATTAGGATGACCACATGGGTAACAACAAAATACTGCTACCTACAGGTCACATTGTGTGTAATGTTTTATTTTAAAAGACATGCACTATTAGAAAGTGTTGCAGGTGCTGAAAGTTTCAGTGTATTTTAATTAGTATGTTCCTCAGCTTGCAAAATCTGGAGCAAAGGGGTGTTTGAGACTTCTGTTAGAATAGTAGTTATCTCTAACCAATTAAATAAACCCTAGGGCTTGTCTGCATATTTTCAGGGATTAATGAATCCCAGCTGGATCCTCACATAGATGAAAAGCTTTGTTATGTTGGGGAAGGGGAATTATTGATGCTACTACCAGAAAAAAAAGCACCATTCATCAACAGTACCGCCATTAAATAATCCATATTGAATTCACCACCCCAATATACTATCAACAAACTATATTTCCCTTTCTCATGATGATTTACATTTTGTCAGTATAGGCATAAGGGCTGAAAAGAGAGCAGCTTGATGTTGAATTGTAGTATGCTGCATTTTAATGGGGAAGATTTTCTTTCATTAACTATTATCTTAGCTGCTAAACGTTGTGTACAGTGATACACTGGGCCATAAGCTACATTGTAGTATGGGGAAATTGTTTTCCTCCTCCTCTTCTTCTTCCCCTTTATACAGGTGAAAAGCAGAAAAGCCCAAGACAAAGGAGAAAGGAGCCATTTTCTAAATGAGATTAAAACACTGAGAAAAGAACTGAAAGAGCGAGAGGAAGCTGCTATGACTGAAATACTGACAAAAGCTAATGTTATTCTGGCGACAAACACAGGTTAGAGGAACTTTTCTGGTTTGTTTGGGTGGGTTTTTTTGCCTTGAAGAATAGCTAAATCAGATTATTGGCAGCTACAGATTTAGGCTGCTCTACACTCCACTGCATTCTTGTGCTTTATCATGAACTCCAAAGATTGCCCAGTGCATCTTTGAATTGATTCTCAGCCCAATATGTGTAAAGGTATGTGCAGTATACAGAATTGCGTCTTGCTAGATGATTTGCCTTTTTCTTCTGTGCAGTTCTGCTTTGCAGTTGGATGGTTTGTATAACTAATCAATGCTGTGCGCACATGTACCACACACACAACTCTGCCATTCATGTTTTACAGAACATCTTTTACTTAATGCCGGCTAATGAGGGAAGGGAACGTGCATTATTTATATAACTAATCAAGCCTTTGGAGCTGAGAAAGCCATGAATTGTGTTTTAAAGTATGTACTTAATGTGGCTTCTTGGATCAGGGACCAGACAAATTGCTCCTGTTGGCGATCCCCATGGTATATTTACCAGGGAAGCTTGCAAATAACCCGAGTGAAAAAGATTGCATATTAAATGTTACAAACATGTGCAAAGATTATTTATGAGTACAACACAAGTGCCATATTAAAATCAATTTGTTGTTTAAAATAATGTTTCCCTTTTGATTGGAAGGCTGAAATAGTACTTTAAATCTCTCACCACTGAGTGTTCTAGACAAGCAGAATATTAAAGTGTATTCAAACCTAGCACACCTGGAAGAAGGCTAGGCTAGTATCTTCCTCCCTGATGTCTAGTTGTGCCAGGAAGGTGTGTGGGTTTGTTCATTTCTAAATGCAGGAGTGTTTAGTCATTTGATTATCCCTTCTGAAATCCAAGTGGCATAATCTAGGAATAGATCTGTATTGCCATCTACTCTTTGGGTGAGTTAGGTCTCCTAACATTGTCCATCTTAGGGTGTACAGTGGTACCTCGGGTTACATACGCTTCAGGTTACATATGCTTCAGGTTACAGACTCCGCTAACCCAGAAATAGTGCTTCAGGTTAAGAACTTTGTTTCAGGATAAGAACAGAAATCGTGCTCTGACAGCAGCAGGAGGCCCCATTAGCTAAAGTGGTGCTTCAGGTTAAGAACAGTTTCAGGTTAAGAACGGACCTCCGGAATGAATTAAGTACTTAATCCGAGGTACCACTGTATTGGACTTTGGCAATTTTTTTCCAATTTACTATTTGAAAGAAGATACTACAAATGTGATCCCTTGGAGGGTGTTGCTTCAAGAGCAAGAGTTGTCAGCTAAAGTTGAGACATTTATCAGAGCAAGGATGAATGGGGTCACACTCAGGGCTTGGCTCAGGTTTTTTGTGCCCAAGGAGAGGGCACATTGCTTACACGGCAGAAGCAGTAGCCAAGGGTGTTGGGATCATGCCAAGCTTATCAAAGGGGCATATTTGGGCTCAGGGCTCCCTGCAGTCAGAGGTCCTAACATTTACACATATTTGAGCACAACATTCCTCCTTTCAGAGATGAATCAGCCTGCTCCTTTTAAAAGCCACCTAGTGTTTCCAAAACTTCTCCCACTACACCCACCCACCCAGACATACACACACACACACCTGGCAAGCATTCCCTCTGCCTCACCTGCAGGGATGGATGAACTTTTCCACAGAAATAGCCAAGTGTGCTTGTTCATTAGGAGAAGTGTTTTGGTAAACAGGAAATTGGACTGTCAGATGGATCCTCTGTTGCCTGTCACAGCACACTGCTGAGGACTACATAATGTGAAGGCTTGTGATACTTTGAAAAGATGCAGGTATCCAGCATGTCAAGGCCAACACGTCTTTCCTCCACTTTTTGCTATGGTGCATAACTTTAACATTTTCTCTTGTTAATTAGGAGCCTCTTCTGATGGTCCTCTGAAGCTACTTCCTGAGAACCACTTTGATCTGGTGGTAATTGATGAATGTGCCCAGGCGTTTGAAGCAAGCTGCTGGATACCTCTGCTGAAGGCCAAGAAGTGTGTCCTGGCTGGAGATCACAAGCAGCTGCCTCCCACAATCATCTCTCACAAGTAAGGAACATTTCCCAAAATTGGACCATTAATTATTTGGACCGTTGGGGAAAACGTTCACCTGGGGGTTGATGGGAAGTGTTTCAGTTTGGACATCATTACCTGTGTTTATCTGTGCAGCAGGTAGGGCTGTTAATAGCTGGGCCAACCTACCTGCTCGTTATTTAAAGACATTGGTACCAATAGATCAGCAGAAAAACATTTTTAAGCAGAAGTGGTTAGAACCATGGACTCTGATCACAAAGGTAGATTTTTTCCTATCATTCATAATAGACATACTTTGCTGTTACACCTGAAAGGATAATAATAATTTGTCCTCATTGAGAGCTGCACCTTCTGATTAGGAGGCGGCAAGTATCTGGTAGCCTTCTCTGTGGGTGTGTAATTCTGCAGCGTGATAATACCCAATACAGAGATTTAGCAGAATTCCCACATCTCAGAGAAGGTTGCCTGCTGAGGATGAGTGCTTTGGGCTCACGGGAACTGTTAACTGTTGAATTAATTAATTTCTCCCTCCTCAAAATTTGAAAATTACGGGTGTAGAGGAATGACCAAGAGCACTAGAAGCTTAGGCAGGGAGGGCCTAGGGAAGTAGCTTGCATAAAACCTGTTTTGAGAAAGAGTGAACTGGCCAGGATTCCGAATAAGCTGGCACCATCACCAAAATGGTGAGCTGCTAGTTTCCATGCACTGTAGCAGGAAGATATTGAAAGATCACTACATTTTTTGAGATCCTCTTCATATATTCATTATCAAAAATTTGGGTTTTGAGTTTTCATATAGGGCTCTGTGTGTGCGTGCCTGGTTTGCTCGAGTTTTTCTTTAAGGAATTACTGCTGTGCTAGAAAAAAAATCACATCTTATTTATGGACCTGCTGCCTGAGAGGCATTAAGCCACTAACAGGAATGTATTTCTCCTCTGCTTTTTACTTTCTTCTCCCAGTAGGAAATTAGCACGCAAGAAGCCTATAAATTGTGCATTGTTGTGTGTGCTGCTCTTACTATGTAAATCTTTAGTCAGTTTTTTATGCACATGAATTTTATGGATCTCATATCTGTAATATAATTCAACCTTTCAGGTACAGGCATTAATTATGATATCCTGGTATGTATAGAAAACCTTTGCAGTGATGGTAGTTTAAAAGCATTTTTTTGTATCTGTTGATAGTAGTGAGCAGCTGTCCCAAATGAAAAAAGGGTTCTCTTGTGCAGTTAGAAGGGCCTGGACTAGACAAAAAAATACTATGTTTTCTGACAAGTTGAAAGATGCTATGTTATAGACTAGATGATCTTTCTCTCTAGAAACTAATACTGGAGACATATGTCTGTGAAGATTGTTCCTTGCAGAGCATCATTTTGAGGAGCCTCTTAGCCTTTCCCTACCCCATCCCTTATGTAGTGATTTCACTGCAAAATCAACATAACACCTGTGTAGAACCTGAGCAGTCCATTGAATTATAGGAAAGATGTTCAGTGGTAGAATGGAGAGATCAGGACTTTGACACCCAGGAATTGTTGGGGCCTTTTGACTGAATGTACACACACATTATGTCAAAGAAATAATGGTGTAGACTGAAACAAAACAAAAACGTATCAGGATGAGGGAGAAACCAGTGCTGATAGTGGGGGAAATGTGAGCAATCCTTTTGAAGAAATGAGCTCCATCTCCTATGGGAACATTGCCATCTTTGTTGAACCTTGAATCCTTCAAAGATAGTCACAAGGTTGCCTTCATCCTAATAGGCCTTTCTTCCCCGGAAATCTTCCTCCAGCCACTTCTCCAGATTGCTTGGATTCGATTCAGTTTGTTCCCTCCTGGGGCTGTTTTGTCATGCTGACTTTTTGACAAGTCCCCTACCAATTCACGTTATTTGGGTGTGGCAAAGTACTGTATTTTTCGCTCTATAACATGCACCAGACCATAACACGCACGTAGTTTTTAGAGGAGGAAAACAAGAAAAAAAAATATTCTAAACGAAATAGTGGGTATATGATTTTTGTGGTTCATGCTGTGACCACAGACATGTGATCTGACAGTGAGTTTGGAGTAGCCCAATGCAAAAATCCTGAGGATCCATGTGGATCCATGCTTTGTAACCACAGAGGAGGGAAGGAAGGGGAACCATGGATCCTCTGCTCACGACTGCAGCAGATCCCCCCCGCCACCCGCAGGCATTCGCTCCATAACATGCAGAGACATTTCCCCTTACTTTCTAGGAGGAAAAAAGTGAGTGTTATGGTGCAAAAAATACAGTAATTCTGCAGTGGCAAAAAGAAGGGAGATCAAGGTAGCAGAAAGGAAGTGTGTTCTGCAGTACCTGGGAGAGTAAAGCAGAAGTTGGTGACAGTGGCCTGGTATGTACAGTTGAGCACCTAAATGACCAGGCATGCATGTTGAGGACCCAAGCCATGCCCTGTAGCTGAATGCTCATAGGAATTTTAGAGCACTGGCTAGGAGCCACACACTGTGTGCTCCAGATGCACACACTGCCTTCTCTGCTAAGAACTTGGAGGGGGAATGAAGATCCTTGGACATCTGGTATGATATGGAATGTCAGATTCTGGTTCCTTGAACCAGGAGTCAAATCCCTGGCCTCAGAGTCAGGCCTCTGTTCTTCTCTGTGGCCTGCAGGGTGCTTTTCCTTGAACTGGGCCAACTATTTATTTGGAAGAGGCAGAGGCAGTTTTGCTGTCTTCTGTCTGTAGAGGGCACCTCCGCCTCTGAGTCCTGGTTGACAGTGTTTCCAGGAAATGGGACATGGTATCAGTGGTTTTTGCTGTGTGCATGCTGTCAACATGTGACGGTTGCACAATGTTCTCTGACCAGAAGGAAGGCCTGTCTCAGTTCTGAGGAGAACAGCTCTCCAGAATGGGGGAGAATGCAGCTCTCCTCTGCAGTGAGGAGCATTTTTCTTCCAACTTTTCATTCTTTCCCTTTTTTATTCTTCCTGTGGAGGTATTGTCACAGATCCTGTTTATTTAAAATATTTGGACAGAAATGAAAAAGCCAGGAGTCCCTGTGGTAGCAATTATGAAACCGCAGTACATGTCATTTGTGCAAATTGTTGTGGATTGCAAACTCAAGAGTTAATTCCAGAGTGTGCAGCTGCCACAACTGATGTTGAAAAAGTCTAGTTTGCAATTGGCACCCCAGGAATCTGTGTGTACTCATATGTGCACTGCATGTGCAAAGTACAGTCACTCAGACATTCCCATTGGGTTTGCTTAGAATTTATTTCTCTCAAGCCTAGAGTTGATACAGAGTTTCTATATGAGAAATGGACAGGGACCTTACAACATGTGTATGCTTGCTAAAAACGAACTTGCTGATTAACATCCTAGACAAAAGTACTTCTTCATGTAAAGCATAATTACGTTAATGGAATTCACTGTGACAAATGTGGCGTGGCCAGTCTCACAAATGGTTTTAAAGGAGAATGGGGCAAATTAATTGAGGAACAAGGTCTTCCAATAGCTGTTAGTTTAGTGAACCTCCTAAGTTGCTTTGGGTGTGGGGAGAGGGCAAAAACAGGGAAGAGGTATCAGTTAACTATCCTGGTTGTAAGTTTTCTGGAAGAATACAGCTGGCAACTATGGGAAACAGAACACAGGAGTAGATGGACCATTTTTAAAAATTGTGTCTCTGGAGAAGAGGGTAGCCAGCATAGTGTTCTGAACTATAATTCCTATCATCCCTGGCCAAGTTGACTGGGGTTGATGGGGGTTGTAGTCTGAAACATCTGGAGAGCACCATGTTGGCTACCCCTACCCTGGAGCAACAGTCACATGCTTTGAAAAGGAAATGTTTTTAAATGCAATGTGGAAACTGCCACAAAAAGCAGTGTGGAGTGCTGCTGTCAGGATTCTACTCCATTGCATCTCAGTTTTTCTATCCCCCCCCCCAATAATAATAATTAAGCATTTAGTGTCTGTTGAGCATTCTTGGTCTTCACTGGGCTGTTTTTCCCATTATGATTTGTTATACTTCTATGAATCTTGGGATTTCCCCAACCATGCTAATACCTCCCTCGTCCTAGCCTGGAATAGATGAACCCAATGGTCTGACTTTGTATAAGGCAGCTTCCAGTGCTGGCAATTTCCATGCTATGCTTTCCAGATGCGTAGCTGGTGAAAACTAACAAAAAGTGTCAGGTGCAGTGGATTAATGAAACAAACTGAGTTCAGATATTTTAGCCTAGCTATAACTAATATGTAAGACAGTGTCTCAGTTTAAGAATGAGATTAACAGGTAAGAAAGATTCTAGCCCTCATGTTTTGGGAAGAAGGGCTTGACAATTGTGTGCCATGTTGTTGAAATCTCAGAAAGTAAAGGGTGTATGATACAGTGGGGAGTGGTGCTTCTTTGGTTTCTACTAAACACCAGGAAGAATACCATTGTCAAGAGTATCAAAAGCCGCTGAGAGGTTGAGGAGAATTAACAGGGACACATTTCCATTGTGTCTCTCCCAACAGAGGTAATCATACTAAAATAGTTTCTGTGCCAAAACCAGGCCTAAACACCAATTGAAATGTCTGTACTCCTGATTGTTATTACAATAAAGTATACAGGTTACTCAGATGTAAGCAGGTTTTGCATATTTTATTATGAGCACATAATAAGATTTCCACCCTGTATGCTATGTATTTTTTAGCTAAATCATTTTAGCTTTGAGCTTTAATGTTCCTGTCCTTATCCTGAGGCCCTGGATCTGTTTTCAGATGCATGTCATGAGGTTTTTACAAGCTGTTCTGCTGTTGAGTTCTTGCAGAAATATCTCTGTTCTGAAATACTGACAAGAGCATAGAAAAAGAAAATAGCTGTGAAGTTGATGGACATCTTTATACATTTCCCCTTCAATCAATTTTTTTTTTTTAATTTATGCTGTTCAAAGCGTGGTTAGAAGTGAAAACAGGTTTCTTGATACTTGAGTTTTGTAAAATTTCTTTGTAAACAACATGGCAGTAAAATAATTTGTCTGGTTCAGAGTCTGCTATCTTAC